TCAGGCATTTTGAGCCTCGATCATAAAACTGCTCACATCCTGTGCTTTGTCTTGTCTGGAGCCCAGGGGGCAGAGTGGCCACCCATCTGACCTCATCCACCATCTCCTGCCCACAGGAGAAAGAAGTGGCCTTCCGCTTCCATGAGGATCACAGCTTTGGGTCAGGTTGGGGGTGGGGGGCGGACAGTTTTCTGTCCTATAGGGTTGCCTTGGGGTCAACTCAACAATCCTTGAGTTGGGCCTGTGTCCCGCTACTCCACTAGAAGGTCAGCCCCAGAAGGGGGCAGCTTATAATCTGCCCTTGATACTGAGCCCTGTACACAGTCCAAGATTCCAACCCACCATTTGCTCTGCAGAGGAAGATGAGACTACTTGTGTAAAGATTTAGTCTCAGAAACCAATAGGGACCGTTCTACCCTGTCCTGTTGCGTGGGTAAGAGTTGGGATCAACTTGATGGCTGTGGGTTTTTTGTCACGGATGTGGTGTCCAGTTCAAGAACCAAGGGGCATCAGTGGTCATGTGTGGAACAGTCCCCACTGTGTGATGTAAGGCATGTCACAAGAATAAATACAGGTGGCTTTGTTTCAAAGGTTTCGAAGCTGTACATGAAGTTTTCAGCGGCTACTTCTCCGAAGTGGGCTGAGCTCCTCTTTGTTGTCTGTTCCTAGTCCGGAAGCTCTGCTGAAACCCGTTCACTGTGGGTGACCCTGCTGGCATTTGAAATACAAGTGACATAGCGTCCAGCATCACAGCAACACACAAACCACTGCAGTATGACAGCCTGACAGACTGGCGTAGTACTGGAGCGAGATCAGTTAGCCCACACGCAACATTAATAAGCCTTATCAACGTTATCAGCTAGCAGTCAAGGGGTAGCTAGAGCCTAATTCTCCTTCGACACTGAGTGCTTAAAGAGGGGAGTTTTTATATTTTGAGATAAACAAGACACAAGGGCAGGTGGCGACATGCTATATGGAAAAATAGGAACTTCGAAAACTAAAATGGGGCTTTACAAGTAACATCAGCAATTTCCATTACAGAAGTTGCAGAAGGAATGACAAAGTCGTTACAAAGTGGCCACACTTGGGTCAGTGCAAAATGGCTACACTCAGGCTAATGGTTACAGCATGGTTACATTGTTAAAATGGCTACATCTACGATAACTATGACTACATTATGGTTACATTGGGGTTCATGGTGTGCGTTACTACAAGAGGCGGGAATCGAACGGATGGTCGGCAGAGGGGTCGAGCCTTGGAATGGTGGTGCTGGAGCAGAATGTTGAAAGCACCGTGGAGTGCCAGCAGGACAAACAGTCTGTCTTGGAAGAAGTACGGCCAGAGTGCTCCTCAGAGGTGAAGATGGCGAGATTTCACCCCACGTCCTTTGGGCATGTTACCAGGAGTGGGGCTTCGTGCTTGGTAAAATACAGTGGCAGTGCCAAAGAGGAAGGTCCTTGATGAGAGGGATGGACAGGTGGCTGCCCTGAGGGGCTCGGGCACGGGAGTCGTGGTGATGAGGCGCAGGACCCGGCAGTGTTTCGCTCTGTCATCCAGGGCATGGCGCTGTGGCTTGGAACCTGATTTGATGGCTCCTGGCACCAGCAGTAGCCCTGGACTGACCTTCGAGGCCTCCCTGCCAGACGCACTTCTCAGCATTCGCTTTCCTTGTGGGCCCTTTCTCCTCACCTCAGTGTTCCCTGAGAAACGAAAGGACTCGCAGGCGTAAGGTGACCAGAGTGTAACATTGGTAAAGGGGACACCATTGATAAAACTCATATCCTGCCGAAATAGCCACATGGCAGCTGAAAGCCGTATACCCTAGCTTGTGAGTGCATTCTTTCCAAAAATCAGGACTTTTTAAAAACGCTGTGGAACGTGGGAAAAATTGCTAAAAATCGGGACTGTCCAGCCAAAAGCGGGATGTCTGGTTACCTTACGCAGACGGAAACTACCTGGGGGTCCCTGACCGCTGACCTCGTGAGGCCACTGGGCACTCCCACGTGGTGTGGGAGGACCCTCGCTGCCCAGAGACCCCTGCAGGGCCTCATCCTCCGTGTTTGTAGAGAGGTTTGTCCTGGCCTTTGTCGGCCAGCCATTTCATGGCATCACTGAGAACACGGGGTGCTGAGAGCGGCTGGGCTGGCTGAGGGGCAGTGTCCCTCTGGCCAGGACCCCGAGGGG